GTTACTTTGCTTTTCTAAAGAAAATGGGTCTATGATAAAGTCATAATTTGTTCTCTCCTCTTTCTGAGTAAAAAGTTTATTAACTTGTGATTTAAGCAAACCATCTGGTTGTGCCGACTGTGCACACTCTCGAGTCTTAGACTTTCACCTTAATATATTACTGGAGGCAGTTAAGTTACATACTTGAATCCCGGCTCTGCCTGGATTTTTTTTTTAATGTCTTAAAACACGTGCTTTTGAAAACCATATGGGGATCTGGAGCATATTTTGAAGTCATGGAGAGTTTCTTCGTTGTTTCAAGCAGGATGTATCTTTTGTCTTCCTCTACTCAGCTTTCAGAACTTTTATTTCCCAGTCACAGTACCCCAAACTATGCAACAACTGCTGTGTTGTAATGGAATAGGTGTTCAAGTGGAGACAACTGAGTTCTCACTAACTGTGGAAGAATCCCAGAAAGTGAAGCATTTCAATTTGACCCCGAAACTGTTCCCCGGTTTGGAGCCAGAGCACACGTCAGTGATAGTTTGAAGTCTCAGTTTATGGGACCATTCTGTGAACGCCTTCAAACATATTTGAATGGAGGGAGGATTTGAGGGTCTGGCGTTCACAAGATGGGGAAATGAAGTCATGTGTAAGAAAATTATGTTCTATTAACAGGCAAAATTCTCTGCATAAATGTTTAAAATGAAAGGTAAAGTATGTCCAAGCGCATAGCCAACTAAATGCTGAAGAAATAACTTCTGCAGAAACAGTTGAGTTGATAGAATAGCACTGCACTGCAGCACTGTCTTCCCGTTGTTCATCGATTTGCTCTAGCGGGCACCAGTAATGTCTCACAACAGATTCTGAGACTTGTTGTTACTGTTTTTGGCATATCGAATATGTCCTGGATAGCTTGCCAGGCTTTGCCTTGCGGCCAAAATAACGCTCGTTGCTTGCTGGGCTCTCCGAGAGGGGCGGAGGATATGCACATAAATTGGCAAGAAAGTTAATTCTCAGGTCAGGGACTGAGTACACAGGAAATTCATAGATAAGTTCTTGGTAAGTTGTTGAACTTGATTTTTCTGGCTTGGCAAAAGGAAAAGTAAAGGCCCTCCCGTTGATCATCGATTTGCTCGAGCGGGCCCAGTAAAGTCTCCATTGGAGACTTTGTTGTTACTGTGTCTGGCATATCGAATACATCACAGGGAGCTTGCCAGGCTCTGCCGTGCGGGCGAGATACTCTCGGTAGCTTGCCGGGCTCTCCGAGAGGGGTGGAGGAATCGAACTTGAATCAGCCATGCTGGCTGCGTGCAAGGCAAACACCCTACCGCTGTGCCAGCAATCCAAAGTGGAAAGTATTATATGCACCATGCTCACCTAAAACTCTCCTGTTCACTCTTTGTGAAGGATCCATAGTGGCCAAAATTGGTTTTTGAAAACATTAAGTTGAGCAGACAGGTGAGCAGACAGGACTCTGCAGGGACCAGGGTGAGCAGCAGAGCTCTGCAGGACTGTGGTGAGTGGCACACAATGCGGGGACTGTTGTGTGCAGACAAGGCAATGCAGGGAGGGACTGTGTGTGCTGACATGCCAAAGCCTGAGACCATGTTAACAGACCCAAGTGATTTTCTTGAGTCTGTCAACCCAAGGATTTTATAAAACTATTTTGTAGAGGCCGGAAAGATACTACAGTGGGTAAGGCACTTGCCTAGGGATGTATCCAAACTGGGTTTGATCCCCAATACTCCATGAGGTACCCCGAGTCTGCCAAGAGTGATCCCTGAACATAGAGCCAGGAATAAGCCATGGGCAGTGCCAGAGTGACCCAACCTCCCCCGTCCCCAAAATATAATAATTGAAAGATTTTGTAACACATTTTAGTGTCATAACATTTTATCATAATTATATTAATTACTATATTTTTATATATAGTAATTAATATGTTACTGGCTGGAGCGATAGCGATATATAGTAATTAATATATTACTGGCTGGAGTGATAGCACAGCGGGTAGGGCATCTGCCTTGCACGCAGCCAACATGGCCGACCCGAGTTCGATTCCTCCGCCCCTCTCAGAGAGCCCGGCAAGCTACCGGGAGTATCTCGCCCGCAGGGCAGAGCCTGGCAAGCTCCCCGTGACGTATTCGATATGCCAGACACAGTAACAACAAAGTCTCCAATGGAGACTTTACTGGGCCCGCTCGAGCAAATCGATGATCAACGGGAGGGCCTTTACTTTTTACTTTACTATATTTTTATACTTGCATTTTTCAGAGAGACAGACCAATGCTACAATTATGTATCCTATAGGGTGTGCTTTTTGGAGAACCCTGACTCATGCATGAATAATAACAAGTATTTTTTTCTCACTCACATGAACGGAATGATTAGCAAGTTTGATTCTTCTATTTTACTGACTGGGTTGCACATACTGTAAGCCTCAACTTAACTCAAGTGTGAAATTATCCCATTCCTTGAAAACAAGTCATGTAGCTAATCTAAAAGCCAGGTTCAGAAACTGTCCACCTTGAGAAAGGGAAAAAAAATAAAGGGAAGGGGAGAAGATGTGGATGAGAAACAGTGGGGGCAGGGGAAAGGGCACTCAGGTACGGGGGTGGTGTCAAGGAATGATCGAGCGAAGAATCCAAACCACAAAATCAACAGCACTGAATTCACAAGACCCAAATTTCAATAACAGTAACCAGATTTAAAAGGCATCTGTCAGGATATTGACTGAGGCTCAGATTGGGGGGGGGGCAAATAGGAGAAGGAATCTGGGGACAGTGGTGGGGGAAGTTGACACTGGTGGCAGGCTTGGTGATCAAACATTCTATGTCAGAAACCCAATTGTGAATAACTTTGTAATTGGTGGTGCTTCAACAAAATAAAATTTTGGAAAGAAAAAACAAAGAATGTGCAGAAAAATGTGGATGTATGTTAGTATTTAATATTTTAGGTTCCCAGTATATTTGATCTATCATGTACCCATATTAGAAAAAAAAATTATCACTCCCACTGCCCATAGAGCTCGAACAAAGTTTGCACTGGATGCTTCCATGCCGTCATTCCAGCACTCACCAGTGGAGGCTATGTCACCCACTTGGGGACAACGGTGAATCATTGCTATGACCAGTCCAGTCTACTGAAGGCGGTATGAAAGCGCATCTCCTTCTGCCTGACTTCCTTCGGCAGCAAATTGCATGGTTTCATTCATTGCAGCACTATTCAGAATAGCCAAAATCTGGAAACCACCCAAGTGTCCAAAAGCAGATAATGAAACTGTAAATGAAATACTACTCGGAGATAAGAAAAGACAAGTCAGTGTTTGTCAGAGTTAGTGGCTGGCTTTTGCCCCTTCTCTACTGCCATCTCTACCTCTAGAAAGATTTGTTATAACCAAAATTAGATCTTGACAAGTAGCAACGTGACATGGACTCTCATAATGAGTACAGGTGGCTGGTTGACACCTGGGTGAGGTTGTATTTTATTAATAACGTTTTTGTTAGCATACATTTTGCTTCTGAGTTAAAGTGAGCATATTTATTTAAATAATTCTGATTTAGGAACCACCCAGGTAAAGTGGAAATGACAGACATTTAGTGTTTAGCATTCTGCCTTCTTATTTTAAGGGATGATCTTGGTCATTTTTAAGCCCCCAGCCTCTTCTGTTGGCCCTAGGGTTTTCTTGTTCTTGCTTTCAGCCTTCCTTGAAAACACACCTACCTGCTTGGTTTGAGAACGTTAATTACCTTGTTGAAATCTGTTCTTTAAAAGGAAATTCTATTTAATGATGATAGAAACATCTTAGTTTGTATATTTTAAAAATGTTTCACTTATGGGATTGGGATATGGCTCACATGGTGCAGCAAGCACTTGTTCGCAAAGGTGAGACTCTTGAATTTGATCCCCAGTCATTGTCACTGTCATCCCATTCATCGATTTGCCTGAGCAGGCACCAGTAACGTCTCCATTCGTCCTAGCCCTGAGATTTTAGCAGCGTCTCTTTACTCGTCCTTCCCAACGGTGCCACACTGGAGGTTCTTTCAGGGACAGGGGAGTGAAGCCCATTATTGTTACTGTTTTTGGCATATCGAATACACCACGAGAAGCTTACGAGGCTCTGCCGTGTGGGCAGGATACTCTCGGTAGCTTGCCGGGTTCTCCTAGAGGAGAACTATACTCTAAGAGGTCTCGTGGCCACGAATGAATTTGATCCCCTCTACCCCATAACCCCCAGAACACTGCCAAATGTCTACCTGGTGTCACCTGAGTACTGCTGACACTGCCCTAATGTCCCTTGCTGGGCACCACCAGGGACATGCATTGATAACCTCAGGCACCAATCCACCAAGCAGTGTCACTGAGCCGAGTATCAGCCGCAGTGGCCCCGGGTCCTGAGCACCACCAAGTGAGGGGCCTCATTTAAAAAATGATTTATTTATATTTCTGTTTAATCTATCATTGATGACTTTTATCTTGAATTTCATAAAATCTTTCTATAAATATTTGTCATGGTTTTGTTCCATGTATCTTTATTGGGGGAGTGGGGGTTGGTTGGTTTGGTTTTGGGGGCCACATCTGGCAGTGCTCAAGGTTTACTCCTTGGTCTGCACTCAGGAAATATTCCTGAGTGCTTGGGGGTCATATGGGATACTGGGGATCGAACCCAGGTCAGCCACATGGAAGATAAGCGTCCCACTCATTGTATGATCTCTCCTACCCTAATGATGCTATATCTTTGTTGCAGTTATATTGCTGTTTCCAGGGAAATTCCTGGACCACCTTCAAATAAATTTCTTGAAAGAGTTTGGGACAGAGAGTAACCTTTTGAATTGATAATGTTTATGTCCTTGTATCAGATAAAGGGCAGATCTGTGAAGAGTACAGAATTTTAAGTATGTGTGTCTTCAGTTTCCTGGACCAGAAGTTCCCCATCGCCCAAGAAATTCCCCTTCGCTCAGTCATCTGACTTTAATTGATCAGCATGTTCAGTTTTTTCTTTTCCATATTAATCACAGGTGGAGGAGTTATTGATGGCCATGGAGAAAGTAAAGCAAGAACTGGAGTCAATGAAAGCGAAGCTGTCCTCCACTCAGCAGTCTCTGGCAGAAAAGGAAACTCATTTAAGCAATCTTCGGGCAGAGAGAAGGAAACACTTAGAGGAAGTTCTGGAAATGAAGTAAGTGCTTAGAATCCTAATAATCTTCAGGCACGTGCTTAGTAAAAGTCTTGTCATTGCTTTCATATTCTGTCCCTGTTTATTCTTCCTGATTCCTAAGTTTAATAATGACTTCTATATGTTTCTCACTCTCTAGAATAAATTTGGAACAAACCTTAGTCAAGTAGAATTGTTTTTGACATCTTCATTAAATTTTAAAACTCTCTAGAGAGTGGTTCTCAACCTTTTTCTGACTGTGGTCACCTTCTGACCTTGTTTCCTTCCTCTGCCCCCCATCTTACTGATATACTCCCAAGTCTCGTGTGCCCCCCAGTAGTCCCTGTGGAATGTTCCAGAGTCCCAAGGAGGAGCCATAAGGACTCAGACTTGAAAATGCTGCTGTGGAGCGCATGGACTTGTTTAAATTACATCTCTGAAATGTTTTCGTTCTTTTCAATTTCTAAAGTCTGGAAAGTTCAGGCAAAGTTTTAATTTACGAGGAAGAACAGTGTTGGTCCTGAGGTGATTGATGTTTAGCATATATTCCTTTGCTAGTAAATAATAATAGATGCTTTATCTTCTCTGATTTTTCAGAGTTCTGCTTTCCTTTTTGGAACAAGTATGTCTTTTTTGAAAGTGGTGTGCTAGCATCTCCGTTGTTCCTAATACCCCTACTTAATTGTCTTACTCTCTGAAACTACTTTTATGAAACTGAGTCTATCTTGGAGTCCCCAGGTTACATCAGTTTCCTCAGCAATTTTCTTTCTTGTTGTCTTCTCTTCTGTCTGCCAGGTATTTCTTCTTCATAAGGTAACTTGTTGTATCAAAGACTTTTAAGGCCTGGTTCCTGTGCATTCTGCCTCTGTCAATTTTCTCTCACGGAATCTTTGCTCACTTCCTCCTCCTCTGCATAAATACAGTCTCTCTGATCTAAGATAAAGAGACTTTTAGAAGCTAGAGTAGTGTTTTAAAGTAACACACACACACACGCACACACACACGCACATGTGCACACACATACACCTTCTCCTTTATTACGATTTTGAACAGCTCATATTGAGTGTTAGAATTATAAAGGAGCAGAAGATCTTGCCATGGTTATCCGTTAACATGAATTTTAATTGAGCATGGTTATTGCAGTGGTGAAAGCAGCCCAAGTTGAAGAAGCCAATGGTGAACTGCCACCTGCACTTAGAGATGATTAGGCCACAGTATAATGGTAAGATAGTCTCATCTAGTCTCATCTTTCAAAGATATTCTGTTCTTGACATTGAATACTTGGAGTCTGAAATAGATTTATGACACTGGAGGTAGGGTGTGGAGCTAAGATTGTGAGTGCCATGAGAAACAACTTTACGAAATTCGCTTTGTAGTAGAAAGTTAAAGACATTTCCTCCATCCCTATCCCCACCCCGCTGGAGCTAAAATTGAGGGGGTGATATTTTGGAGATAGAGCCGTAGATAACTTAATGGGAAATTTTAATTTGTAGAACTACTTTACTAGTGAATGGTTAGCTAAGTCTGGCTGTTGCCAGAGCGTGGTAGAAATAGAGCTGAGAAGAAAATAAATAAAATCAAGGCCCAAAGTAGTTAAGAAAATGGAAGAGGATGGAGAAAATGTTGAGAAACCTGATATTGAATATCCTTAAACAGAAGCAAGTCTCTCCAGAGTGAAAATACATGCTTTGTTTTCTCTGTTCATTAGTCACTTTATTTGTCAGATATTTCCTACTTGGTTAAAATAATCTAGAGCAAAATAGTGATATATTTTATATAGGTATTCTCCTTTATTCTTAGGATTCTTGCAAACCTTGAAAGGATTTTTAAAAACTAATCTGTTTGTTTTTGGTTTTTGGCCATACCCAACCATGCTTAGGGTTTACTCCTGGCTCTGCACTAAGAAATCACTTCTGGCAGGCGTGGGGGACCAAATGGGGTACCAGGGATTGAATTCGAGTCAGCCTCCTGCAAGGGAAATGTCCTATCCACTTGACTGTCTCTCAGGTCCTGAAAAGAATTCTTGCCTGAGTCAGAGTGGTAGTACAGCAGGTAGAGCACTTAACTAGCATACACCGACCCAGGTTCAATCCCCTATACCTCAGATGGCCCTACCCGAGCCCACCAGGATTGTTTCCCGAACGCAGAGAAAGGAGTAAACCCTTAGCACCACTGGGTGTGGCCCAGAAGCAAAAAAAAAAAAAATCTTGATTTCAGTTCATGAGAACAATTTTGTAGGGAAAAAAGTTTTGTGAGACTTCACTCAACTGTACTAGGAATTTCCTGTACCAGGACAGAGAAATAGTACAAAGATTATATGGTTCTCCTCAGCATCAAAAAAGATAGGACCCCTGAACACAGAGCCAGGTGTAGCCCCTAAGCACAGCTGGGTGTAAACCAGGTATAGACCAGGTCTCTATACTCCCCTCCCCCAAAGGAAACATAATGGTGGACTAACAAACACCCAAAGATAATGGAAACAGAGAACATGAGAACTGGTGATGAATAGGAAACATGCCACTTGGGGGGGCTGTGGCCCAGGACATGGAGGGGGTGATGACTGTGGTAGAAGGAAGCGGTAAGCTGGGAGGAGGCGATGGTGCCGAGAGGCTGGGAAGGTGTTGTGCATGAAGCGCCATCAGTAGCAGGACTGAGAAGCACAGTGCGAACGCTCACATGCACGCACGTAAAGAGCTGCACACAGAAGCTGACTGGTGGGAGAGAGGTAAGTGGGGTGTGGGGGCCCATTGGTAAAGGAAAGTAGATACTGGTGAAGGGATCAGTGTTGTAAAATTGTATGCCTGAAACCTAATCATGAACGACTTTGTAATTTCACGGTGACTAAAAAAAAATTTTTAAACGATTAATTTATCATTCAAAAAAAAAAAAAGAACTTCCCAGATTGAAGATTATATTTTAGGGACAAAAACATTTCGTGATGAACAAAATTGATTTTGGTAAGACTACGGCTCAGCACTTGTGCAGCAAGGCAGAGGATGCATAGCCATACAGAGGAAACATTTAAGTGGCATATTAAATGAATGTTCTGGAAATAAAGTGTTCAAACCCGGCTGTGGCAGATGACCTCGCTCTTGAGTCCTTTTCCTCATTGCTCAGAATATGTTAACCAGAGCACTCTAACGTTCTTAGATCTTGCGAGCTTCTGTACCTGCAGATTTCCCTCCTTAGAAGTGTTTAAATGAGCCCTTGCTCTCATTTGCGCTTGTATTTCCCCTTGTCTTTCATTTTCATAGCTTAGTAAAATGGCTGCTTAATTCCTTTCTTTTAATGAACTATCCCCGTTCTTCTGGCCTAATCTTCTACTCTGATGTTCTGTTGAGTGGCGGCTCTTAATACATCGTCTCTGTTTTCACTGCCCTGTCCATGTACTTCTCCTTGGTGTGGGGAGCAAGTTTTACCATTTTCCTCTCTCACACAGTAAATTGAAACATCCCTATGCTATTTTATTTTATTTAAATTTTTTTTTATTTTATAAGGTAGTTCACAATATTTGATTACAGTTAGTTCTGGGGGTTTTCGGCTGCTGGGCCTGGGCCCCTTGGGGTGGGGAGGACTCTCACCCACCCCTCTCTCTGGCGCCCCGAGTGAAACAGCCTGGTGCAGAGTCCAGTGGCATGGCAATGGCGGGCATCATGTTGCTCCCTTCCGGGAGAAAAGCCGTGTGATCTGTTTGGTGGCCAATGAGGAGATCGCTTTGTAATAATTTTTTTATGTAGTTTTGGGCTGGAGCGATAGCACAGTGGTAGGGCGTTTGCCTTGCACACAGCCAACATGGCCGACCTGAGTTCGATTCCTCCGCCCCTCTCGGAGCGCCCGGCAAGCTGCCGAGAATATCTCGCCCGCACGGCAGAGCCTGGCAAGCTCCCTGTGACGTATTCGATATGCCAAACACAGTAACAGCAAAGTCTCCAATGGAGACGTTACTGGGCCCGCTCGAGCAAATCGATGATCAGCGGGAGGGCCTTTACTTTACTTTATATAGTTTTGGGGGCTGGAGAGATACAGAGCTCGGGTTTAGGCACTTGCCTTTCTGCAGCCAATCCTGGTTCAATCCCAGGCAGCACATCTGGTCTCTCGTACACTACCAGACACTCCTGAGCAGAGAACCAGGAATAAGCCTGAGCCTATGTGGGTGTGGTCAAACCCCCCATTCCCCATGTATTCTTTGAAATGATCATAAAAATAAACAATAACAACTCAAAAATCACAACCGGAACTATGTAACATACTCAACATACTCAATTACTGTGAAAAGCACACAATGGATTGCGGAACAGTAAACATTTGATTTCTTGATTTCTTCTTACTGTGGGAACTGTCCTTTGCTGCATTCTGAACTCTTCATAGGTTGAACAAGTGCAGCTAAGTGCGGTTTCTCAGTTACCAGCACTTTGATTAGAATTGACTTCATTCAGTGTTCATTTCTAAGGCACTTTCTCCCTCCAGAGTTGTTCTGCAGCATTTTTGCCTTTGATTCCTGCTGGCAACTTGTAAGAACATCCTGAAATAAGAGAATCTGAATCTGAATTCTGAGTCTGCCACTTGTTAGTCCTGTGACTCCAAGACACAGCATAACCTCTCTGTGCCTCAGTTTCTTCATTTGAAAAAATGGTCAGGAATACTTGTTCCGCTTTGTAAATTGTTCATGACAATAAAATAAGGAAAGTTGAACTTAATGAAGTTGAAAACAGTGTCCAGTACAGTCCACTCTTCACATTTCGGTAATATTAGCTTACTGTAATTATTTTAGGGTAATGAATTAAAAGGGGTGGAACGATAGTACAGTGGTTAAGGCATTTGCCTTGCACGTGGCAGACCTAGGTTCGATTCCTTCCTCTCTCGGAGAGCCCAGCAAGCTACCAAGAGTATCCCACCCATACAGCAGAGCGTGGCAAGCTCCCCGTGACGTATTCGATATGCCAAAAATAGTAACAACAAATCTCACGATAGAGACGTTACTGGTGCCCACTCGAGCAAATTGATGAACAACGGAAGGACAGTGC